TGCGCGCGCGCACGTAACAGTGAAAACAATAGTAAATTGCTATGTACCTGGAATGTTCTACACTCTTAGCATCTATTAGGCCATTTAACCTCTGGGTGACCTTCTTTGGAGCTGAGGAGACCCTGGTACGAAGGGGCTCAGCAACTCGCACGTGGTCACACGCAGAACCAATGGCAGCACTAGGAACTGAACCCTTGAAGTCTGGCTGCGGAGCCAGTCACCTCCTGGGTGCAGGTCTCACCTCCATGGAGAATCGGCGCTGGTTCTGCCGCTGGTACTGTGTGCCAGGGGACAGTGGCCTCGGGTCCTCCCCACTGTCCGTGGGGGAGAACGTGCTGGGCTCTGGCTGGGGGTCTCCGCCCAGAGGACCGAGCTGCAGGCCTAAGGTGGGGGGGTGTGTATCAGGTCGCTTCCCTGTCCAGAGGGAAGCCGGTGCCCCACTCCAGCCTGCATTCAGCAACCAGGAACCCTCAAGCAGTGGCGCTGTCTCACAAAAGCAAGGGCGGGCCAGGGGGCGCTTTGCGGGGTCATCCAAGGGGGGAGAGGCCAGGCCCCTGACCCTCACCCTCATTCCGGCGGTTGTGGAGTTGATTGAACTGCTCGGTGAACTCGGCCAAGGACTCTTCGATGGTCTCGGTGCGTGGCACGGACAGGGAGAAGCGGCGCTTAAAGTTCTTCATCTTGTTCATGGTCACCAGGGCAGGTCCTGGGGAGGGAGACCAGTGAGAAGCAGGGGGCCAGGTGTCGCTCGCACCATGCACGCAGCCAGGGCTTGGCCGCATTGCCCAGGGCTGCAGAGGACAGGGGCTTTAGAGCAGGGCATGCTGGGAGCCAGGAGAGCCGTCAAACCTCGGGCCCCCGAGGGGAGCTGCCCACTGCCTCCCCCACAGCACTGACCAGTACAGCAAATGGTGGGTGCATGATGTCCTGACCACCTCTCTCCCCATCCCCTACCCCGACTGACGACATCAACCCCAGGGTCTACAGCGTACTGGAGGAAGGGCCAGCCAGCGTGGCAGCGAGGGCCCAAGAGAGAGAGAGAGACAGACAGAGAATGTGTGTGCGCGCACGTGGTGGTCCCAGGCCAGCAGCTCTGCTGACTTGGCTGTAAGAGAGCCTGCACATGAAAAGCCACGAGGCCTTGCCGGTGCCCGTGAGCCACCTGCCCAGCCTGCTCCCTTCAGAGAAGATCCGCTTCGGACATTTCGCCCAGAAGGCCCCCTCTGGCTTATCCTGGGAACCCAGGAGAAAGGGAGAAAGAGGAAATGGATGAGAGAGAGGAAGTGGGGCCTGAGCTGGCCCAGCCCTATCACCTCTCAGGCTGAAGTTGGGGGGAGGGGGCAGGGACAGAAGCATTTAAAGGTCTGATGCAGTGGTTCTCAACCTTCCTAAGGCTGACACCCATTCATACAGTTTCTCATGTGGTGGTGACCCCAACCATAAAATGACTTTCGTGGCTACTTCATCACTGTCATTTTGCTACTGTTATGAATCGGGCGACCCCTGTGAAAGGGCTGTTCAAACCCCAAAAGGATCACGACCCACAGGTTGAGAACTGCTGGTCTAATGGGAAACAGGCCCCAGGAAAGGGGCAACATGAGTGGGCCAGTAACCCCTCTGCACTAAGAGGGGTGGGGTTCTCCCTCAGGTCTCGCCCTGGCCAAAGGGCTCCTCTCTCTGCTGACTCCTGTGTCGTTGGAGTGGGAAGACCCTGGCCCTGACCCCCAGAGTGGGTCCTGTCCCCGGAGACTCTGCTGTCTCCCCCTGCTCTGGGAGCCCATGAAGGGGCAGTTCTCTGGCCCCTCCCGTGTCCTGCCCCATCACCCTGCGCTGCAGTGGGACCCAGGCCTGCCAACAAGGCATCAAGAGGGGCCGCCCTGCACCCAGCACAGCCCATGCATCTCCTGGTGGATGCTCTCGGGCCTGCCACTGGCCAGCACCCAGTTGCCAAGGCAACCGGGCCCTTCCTGAATCCTCCTGGTTTAAGGGATTATGGGTCAGTAATATGTTTGCTTTGCTCTATGAGATGTCCTGCTCTCAGCCAGCTTGGAGAGGGCCCTTTCCCTGGCCAGTGGGCTCCTGACTGCCCCCCAGGCCAGCTAAGCTGTGGTCCTCTGGCTCCCCAAAGCCCAGGGACGATGTAGAACCAGGCTGTCTGTCTGTCCTCAGGCTGACAGGGCCTAAGGCCGCACTCAGTTCAGCTCAACAAGCACCTAGTGTGTACCAGGCCTTGTGCTGGGTACTTGGGGTCCCGGAGGAGCGTAGAGCATGATCCTGATCTCTGAGGTGGTGCAAATGGTGCCTACCAACCGCCAATGGCTGCCAACCCAAAGGTGGGCAAGTCGAATCTGCCCAGCAGTGCCACAGCAGAAAGACCTGGTGATCTACTTTCAGAAGATGCCCCACCCACTGCCATCGAATGGATTCTGATGCATAACCACCCCACAGAGCAGCGGTTCTCAACCTGTGGGCTGCGACCCCTTTGGGGGTTGAACGACCCTTTCCCAGGGGTCGCCCGATTCATCACAGTAGCAAAATTACAGTGATGAAGTAGCAACGAAAATAATTTTATAGTTGGGGGTGTCACCACAACACGAGGAACTGTATGAAAGGGTGGTGGCAGGAGGAAGGTGGAGAGCCACTGCCCTACGGTTTCGGACCCATGTGGGTCCCGAGTTGGGGTGGACTTGGAGCCTGGTGTGGGTTACTGGTTCATTTCCATGGAGGTATTGAATCTTTCTGCTGGTGACCTCACTGCTGCGAGGGATCTGGGCCAGGCCAGGCCGAGAGCACAGCGGGCCGCTCCTCCTGGAGGCAGCCCCTGCCTCACGCTCTGTCCACCCCGGGGCCAGCCACTCCCGGTGCTCCACCCACAGCATGCAGGAGTGTGGACGTCCCCGGCATAGACAAACTGTTCTCAAACTTGGCTGCTGTCAGACTCACATGGCGGGGAAGGGGAGGGGGCTGTTAAAAAAAACAAATGCCTGGGCCTCTGTCACCCAGTGGATTGTGAGTTTGGTACTGGGAGCACGCCTTCTTCATCACATTCCCAGTGAGGTGGGGCAGGGGGCCACGACTGGGAAGCACCTGGTGTGCCCTGTCTGAATGTCTATCTCCCAGGGACTGCGCTGAGGTGCTGGCTGGGGAGGGGGTGGGGGTGCAGGCTGGACACAACAGGAGGCACCCCCTTCTCCTCCTAAAGAAGGGAAGACAACAGGCACATTGGTGGGCAGGATGCCTCAGGGTTGTCACAGTTTGGGTGACAGAGAGAGAGAGAGAGAAAGAGAGAGAATGTGTGTTGGGGGGTGGATGCCTTGATCTCTTGAGGCAAGGCCTGAGAGAGATCACCCACACCCGCTTCTAAAAACAGGGCGTCCGCAGAAAGCTGTCCGGCAGCCTGGGATTTACAGCTGGGTAGATGGTCTGTGGTTCAGGGATCCACGGCAGTGACCATAAATCTCCCTCCTGCTCACCTGCCACGGGCTCTCACTGTGGGGGCTGGAGGGAAGCGGAGGCCCCAGGCTCACCTGCCCTCGCTGTGATTGGGAGTAGGCTCCTGGGTTGGGGAGCACGGAGCCAGGAGGGTGAGACTAGGGGCAGCTGAAGGGATGGGGGAGGGTGGGGGAAGGACACAGAGAGATGGGCACCAGCTGCCCTCCACCCACTTCTGAGAAGCGCCCAAGAGGAAATGGTTGTCACTGGAGGAGGAGGGATGGAGGGCAGATGGAGGGGTGGACTTCCTGATGGTGGCAGGGGAGCAGGCAGCTGGGGGTGGCAACTCTCTGTGCTGGAGACAATGGGGGCATTGAACAGGGTGGGGTCTGGGTGTGACAGGGCAGCCTGGGCAGTGAACGCTCTGTTGTTCCCTGGTCGACTCACACGATGCCTGCAGTCAGTTTTCCCTGGGGAGACTCGTCTCCTTAGATTAGGGGGGAAGGGGGAATGGAGGAGGGGAGACAGGAAAAAGGCCTGTCACCTTGGTGCCGTCTGCCCCTCACCCCCAACTGGAGACAGAGGGCTCAGTGTGACCCTGCCTGCGGCCAGTCCAGGGTTGGGCACAGCGCGGCCTTTGTCTCCAGGCCAGGGAGGCATCTGGGGCTGTCCCCGGACAACCGGTGCCAGGGGTTGAGGGAGATGGGCACCTAGGGATGCTGGCTCTGCTGGGGTGGGCGCTGAAGGAGCAGGGCGGGGGGAGGCAGGCGTACCCTCCCATTTGCTGCCCAGGGAAGCTTGTATAGCTCCTGGCTAGCTGCCGGTCACTTCCTCCTGGGCCCAGGACTTCCTGCTGGTACCAGAGAGCGAGTGGCACGGGGTGGGAGTGGAGACCGGGCTATCTGGAGGACCAGGCCTCTGTGGGACAGGGCAAGAAGCTCCGCCTCCAGAAGGCCAGAGCTCTTTCGTCATGCATGCCAGCCCTCCAGGTCGCGACACTCAGAGAGAGGTACTGTCTTGCTGGGACAGACCCCCACTCTAATCTGGGGACCACTGCCAAGTGTACCAGCTCCAAGCCCACCTCCCCCCTTTCTCCTCCTGCATGGGAACCTCTGGGACCCAGGTGTGGGGGGTGGGCCACTCTCTCAGCCTGACACTTAAAGCCAGGCAAACCCCAGTTCGGACTCCCACCCTGCCATTAACACCTGATCTCTAAACCCCTCTCCAGGCGGGCAGCACAAAAGAAATGCCCGCTCTGCCATGCACTCTCCCGGATCGCAGTGACGGCAAGCATGCATCTCTCTCCCCTCATCTGCACTGGGTGCCTGCTCCACGCCCGGCACCTTGCTATCATGCGTTGCTGTCACAGGCGGCCCTCGAGGGACAGAGTCCCCAGGGGGCAGAACAGAACTGCCCCACAGGGTTTCCGAGGCATCCTCGCAGGAGCAGCTCTCTCTCAGGGACACTCAGCTCTCCTGACTGCCGGAGACCACCCAGGACAGGGTGGAACCGCCCCTCAGAGTGTCAGAGACTGAAACTGCTTATGGTAGTGGGAAGGCTCGGCTTTCTCCCGAGGGGCGGCTGGTGGTTTAGAACACCAGCGCATAACCACCGTGCCACTGGGGCTCAGCCGGTTGAGGCCTCTGGCTTTCAGTAGCAGGCAGCCACGTCCCCGGCACACCATCGGAACACTGTTTCGAGACCCAGGGACTGCACCAGAGAAGGAGACGGGTGTTAGGCCTGCCCACAGGGTGCTTGCTTTCTAAGGAGGGGAGGTAACAGACCCAAAGAAAAAATGCCCAGATAAACAGATAAAGCCGACAGTGTGCTAGAGGGTAAAGTGGGCAGGAGGTTGCCAGCATCGCCCCTTCACTCAGGGCGATCAGAAAGGCCTTTCTGAGGACAGGCTCTGAGGACCGGTTCCAAGTAGGCGAGGGGGTTAGTCAAGTGGAACCCTGGGCAGGCGGGTCGGGCGGCGGAGAGCAGCAGGGGCAAAGGTCTGAGACAGGAGCACTGGGGTGTGTCCTGGAGTGGCCAGTGGGAACCCTACGGGGACACGCGGGCATTCGGGCAGAGGTGTGATAGGACCCCACTCAGCTTTTGGGCTGACTGTGGTGAGAAGGTGAGCAAGGGGCCCAGTCTGGGGGCTGCAGGTGAGAGCTAGTGGCTGGGGAGCAGTGAGGGGCATGGAGGGGAGCCAGAGGGGTCTAGAGTTCTAGAGAAGAGCCCAGGGGACGCTCAGACAAGTGCACGAGAGTGTGGAGGTTTGGGGGG